ATGTTTCCTTCAAAGAATGCCATAAGCATTGTTAAGCATCACTCAGGATGTTCCTTTCATACTCCACATGGTTTCACATGAAGAATTATATTGGAACAACAATTTCCTGTTTTATTGCAGTTGTAAAATGAGGTCTATCAGAGGTTTGTGGTTCTCAGAATGCAAAGTGGGTTTTACAAAAATACCATTTTATAAGCTTTAATTATGTCTGTTCCGTTTGCTTACCAAACAGGGACCCCCTGGCCCTCCTGGACCCCCAGGACCACCCGGAAAAGAAGGTTCAAAGGTGAATTTCACAATCTTATCAAAATCTGTTAAACTCCTAATGAGTGGTTCAGTTAGTGTGTTGGTTCCATGATTATTATATTTAAAGCCACACAAAGACTGTGCTAGAACGTGATTTTCAGAGACCTTCTAAATGATCTAATTTATAGTATCAGGAGAAATTTTAATTCTGAACTTCTGTATGTTTCATTCATTCAAACAGGGTGAACTTGGCTTGCCTGGGCCTGCTGGGGTTGATGGCGAAAAGGTGATAATTGGTTCACCCAGTTTAGAAGAATATCGGTTGTTTTATTTTATTTTATATAAATATACACAGCTTTGCAAGCACACGCACCTAAATAGAACCTATAGGAGCTACTCAGAGATTCATGCAAATGAGTTGCTTATCAATATTTGAATTGATTTGACCATCAGGGTGAAAAGGGATACACTGGAGAGCGTGGTGAACCCGGAGAGAGGGGGGGAAAGGGAGAAATGGGCCTCTCTGGTCCCTCTGTAAGTATTCAAATTGATAAATCTATTACATCTTCTCATTTATTTTCTACCATATTATCATTTATAATATTAATCAAATGTGTCATAGGGAATGGATGGGCAGAAAGGAGAGAAAGGAGACTCTATACTAGAAGACAATCTGGTCAGAACAATTGCACCCACATTTTCTGATTCATTTATTAATATTCTAATATTAAGAGTACAGTTATCTTTAAATGTGATTTTATGACTGTCTACAGGTTCAGATGATTTCACAGCCTGGTCCACCAGGGCCTCCAGGTCCACCAGGACCACCTGGATACATGGTGAGGCACATTTTAGACATGCATGATATTATGCTTTCAGTTCATATGACATCTGATGGCTGATATGATGACTCATGACAATTTTACAAGCTTTTTCACATTCACATATGTAACTGTACTTACAGCACTTAACCTGACCATATGGTCTCTCTTGTTTTTTGCATTTATCTGCAAGATCTTGACTTTTAAGAGTGATATCATAACATCATTCAAAGATTGTGACAGTTATTATGTGTGTTTTAGGGTCATCGTGGCTTGCCAGGCTCCAAAGTAGGTGTTATTTTATTCAGATTTTAAACAAAGTCTATTAATGTATTCCTAAATTTAGATCAAAGTATCAAAGTTTTTGTCTTGTCATGAAACACGTCATCATAAAGCTAACTTAAGTGCTTTAAACTCCCTAATAAATGTCTGGAGATATCCAGTAACTCGTATTCCATGCAGTGTGTCAGTCTAACGTTGTACTGAATCTCTCATAGGGTGATCCAGGGGACAGTATTAAAGGAGAGAAGGGAGAAACTGGTGGTGCAGGAATACAAGTGAGACCACATCTAATCCCATAATGCACTAGTCTAGGATATAAAAACAAAAGCAATATTTACAAAGATGTAAGATTGGCCTACATGTTATGATTATGATGTTATCCTCATAACATCTTTATACCTATTATTATGTTTTATAGGGCCTTCAGGGTCCTCAGGGGCCCCCGGGATCAACAGGATTAGTTGGTCTTCCCGGCACAAAGGGTGAAAAGGTAAATCTAATCATAAATTCATCTAATCACTATTTTTAATGACCAATAGGGTTTAAGCAAATGTATTTGTGGTGTTTATTTCTTTTTTTTTATCTATTATATTTTATTT